TTGCTGTAGTCGATTGCTATTTCAAATATAACTTTGCTTTAGCGACTATCCTACCACAGAATGGGGTGTCCTTCATTGAAAGCCTTTCTTATCTCTCCAAACTTGGGTTCATCAAAAGCTCATTAAAAGTGGTATCCCGTCAAAAGGCTTCTTCATATTACACCCCTCTTTGGGGACATGACATAGAACTTGCTGAATTCTCAAAATTGTGAAATTTGAACTGATATGGGAATTCACCTTTCTATTGTGTCATTGGGCTGGTCTCGAAAACTAACAAATAAAACTAGTCTCAAATTGTTGTATAGGTCTACATAAAACGAGGGAAGTCTGTATCTCCTGTCCATCAGTTCAAAGGAGTACCTCAGCGGAAGTGAGTTGTTCTGACCAGACTGGCTTGTGTCTGAAGGTTCGTTTCAGGCGCCGCCAAGTCGATTGCTTGAACCCGGCGAATGCGCGATTGTTCTCAACCCCTCATGAACTTCATTAGAATCCGGTGTTTGTTGTTGCTTCTGTTCCGGCTCTTCTTCCTTTGCCACTTTCAATTTATTCTACCTTTATTCTGGCCCCATTGAGTCGGATTGCACGACTCGTTTATTTGTCTCCTGCCTCTCTGTCCTGGGGCCGAAAGTATCGGCCTCCTTGACACGAGCCTCTGCTTCCGCAAAACGAAGAATGAGCTGGTGCAACCGCCTGAAGGGTGTATTGCAACAGTGCCGATTGCTTTGGCGTCATCCAAATGCGCCAGAACGACTTCAATAAGAGGCGCCAATTATACTCATTTGGTCAGTTTTACCCCTTCCTTCCTCCTGCTCAAGTCCTCACCAAAACTAAAAATAGTTGCTTAAGGATCGCAACTGAGCTGACACTAAACACTCCAATTAGCCGTGTCGTTTAACCCTTGTAGCCATCATTTTCAGCAATTCCTTCTCTGGGCCAAGTCATTAGAGTCAGTTACCATGTCGCCCCGAGGTCAACACTTGACACGTAGTGAGCGATAGGAGACTATTGTGAAATGGATTGTTTCCGTCAGCCGATGGGCAAACACTCAACTCTGGCTGGTGAAAATAAGGTCAAAGACTTGGTGAAATATTTGGACAAAAAGTATTCTCATCACATCGCGTCCACGCGAGGCTGCTGGTGCCAATTTCCAACTTCCGGGCTGAAAGACCATTGTCGGATTGGAAACAATCTGTGAATGGCGATAAAACATCAAGGCACGCCCCGTTTTGACGATAAACATTAAAACTCCCATTAGGTAATCTTGCTAGCAAATTTCATTGTGACATGTGTCACAAAAGTCTGTATACCTTTCTTGTAGTGAGTAGATCTCTTGGGTTAAATCACAAGTCCTGGACAGAATTGGGGTTAAAAATTCGTCGAGGAATGTCATTATTGAAAGGTCAAGAAGACAGTCTTGATGCGTTCCACCATCGTTACGCAGGACCTAAAAGCATGCAGAACCTGACGTCTTCGTTTTGGGCTTGAGTTTGCTTGAATAGGCAAACAGAGAAGCATTAAATTTGGTGTATCTTTCACTTTGGAACGGCAGGTGGCTGGGAGTCGTAAATAAGTCGCACTGCAAGCCGAAGAAGGACGGCTTTGTAGATGTGACTATGCATTTTCTTGAAAAGTTTCTCTCTGACCCCGATTAATCCTGCTCAGCAGGACATCTCAATAGCCAGAAGTCATCCTTTACGAAAACTGACCAAAACCCTAAACCACCGACATCTGACTAATTAGGAGATTAGCGTGATTTCACTTTCCATTCCGAGGACAAAGCTGGTTGGAAGGAATTCATGAATTGGCCTCACCTCAAACTGAAGGAGGATTGTCGAGAAGCGAATAGTGTTGGATTATGCAAAGAAGTCCTCAGTTTACCGTCCGGCGACCCCGATTAATCCTTGCTCATGTGAAAGTCGTCTTTCGAGCCAGAACTAATCATGTAAGAAAATTCGCTAAAACTCTAAATCCCCAATATGAAGCCTCAAGGCTGAGGTTCTCTTTATATCTACAGAAAATTTTTTTATGTTTTGATAGAGTTTTAAAGTAATCTGCCAGAACAAAAGAGAGTAAACATCGGATGTTCCATAGAATATTGCCTGTATGAGGTTTGCGCAAAAAGGTTTACGCTAAGTTGTATAACAACTAATTGGCGTTCACTCTCGAACATTAGATGGCAGCATTCCACTGTACATGTGAAGGATAAAATTATTCGACCATTCGTTTAGAAGTGCCTTCCCCGTTATCTGAGAAGTGGTTTGACCTCATCTTAGTGAATTTATCCTTTACCATA